GCACCACGCAGCTAGAGCAGCAAAGACGCTTCAGTCGCGCGTCAGAAATAAACTGGTACAAGCATCAGAAATGAAACGTGTTTCTGTTGCTCCTGATGCTGCGCTCTGAATGTAGCATAATCCAGCTGCAGCGCGTTCTCTACTAGGCCCATAGAATAAGCTGATGGAGCAGCTATGGATGCCGCCATGCAGGTCTACTCAGCTTAATTAATTCAACTGTTTGGTGAATGCTCTACTCTACAGTAGATCTTAATGTGTAGAACAGACTGCAGCAAGCAGAGCCGCTATGTTACCTGGCTGTAGGGATCACCTCGCTCCTCTTCACTTACGACATCCAGGACGTTAAATGGAACGTAGCCGGACTGGCCGGTGTGATTTCGTAGTTTCCACCACTGCTTGTTATCTTCTAACACCTGCAAGACAGATTTCTTTAACAAGGATCTATTTATAGGGTGATAAAAGAAAAGCAAACGTCTCAGAGCTGTAAATCTATGCTGCATAAATTGTAGATCTAAAGTTTTAACCTCATAGACTTCGTCCTGCAGCACTGATAGCTCATTGGGATTCCTTGCAACGAAACTGTAAAGGACTCTGGCATATTTACGGTTGCCGGGCATCCCATTGGATGGCGGAAGAGTGTCATAATACTAAAAAAAATAGAAATAAAAACATAAAGATGTAAAGATCCAGTTATATGTTTGATAAAGAAATGAAAATGTGAAATAGAACATCTCACATCGTCAGCTGACTGCCTCCTGTAGTCAGGGCTCGCAGGCGACCCGACTGGTCGGGATGGTCCCTCGGTTTCCCATGGAGCCGTCAGGAAGAGCTCCGCAGGCGGCTCCCATCCATTTCGAAACTTGGGGTAATAAGGAGGAGCGCATTGTTCTCTGGGCCACTCTGCCCTGCAGGATGAGAAACGACGGGTTGTTTAAAGAAACCCTTTAATTCAACAATCTGCACACAAAGACCAACCTGGGTTTAGTCCAGCCGTCACCAAGCTGCTCAAATATGGACATCTCTTTGGGGGTGAGGATTCCCTGCAGGAAGCTGACAGCATCCTTGGAAAGGTGGGGGGAGATGACTGAACGAATAAGTTCAGGACTTCCACACGTCTGCAGCACCTAAGGCCAGAGTTAAAAAGCCAGTTAGTTGGGAGGAAGCGAAACTCAATATCGTCTTTAAATTCTCTACATCTTTTTTTTTTTTTCATGATTCAGATGAAGTTAATAACATTATTTAATTAAAAGCCTTAAGAAATCTCATTTATTGTTTCATTTAAAGAACGGGGAAGACTAAAGAAATGTAAAAAAAGTTTCTCATCTAAACCGAGATCAAATGTTTTGGCCGACAAGCAAAAAGCTCTTAGCAGATAAAAACAAGCCGACTCTGATGACTCCTCCCTCATTGTGTAGCACGATAGCGGCGGACTCATGATGTGGGACGGCTTCCTCAGGGCAAGATATTAAGACTCTATTGGAAAATCAATAAAGGCAAATGCTTTACAGTGGAGGTCTTCAAAAGGGGGTCCGTGACCCCTAGGGGGTCCACGGAGATACTGCATGGGGGTCGCTGAAGTTTTGGTTGATTAGATTTTTTTTATACCCCCTCCTACAATTTTTTCCACTAATTGAAATGAAAAACCACGCCCCCCCTCCCCATCGCTCTGCTCTTTTAGACAAATGACGCTCCCTCGCTCTGCCTGGGGGGCGTTTCTGTCAGTCAGGGGGAGTTTCTACTCTGATTAATCTGATTGGCTGGATTTTCAGCTCCTCTCCGGTGCCTTTTTGAACCAACTAACATCCCCTTCATCTTTTAAGGAGACTTCTGACCCTCTCTGACGACGCTAACTCTCAGTAACGCCGTTCATGGAGATCTCAGCAGTTCCAAATGTTAGAGAACCATCAGTTTGTTTGAGAGGTTTCTAACTGAGCATTTATTGACACTAAGATCTCTGATTATTTCCCACATTCTGCTCAATCAGACAGATGTTTTCCTTTGCAGGTTTAAACTCAAAGTGTTTGTGATTTCTAGCTCTTACCAGCTCCAGAGGTCCGAACAGGAAATGAACCAGTTCAGGAGCGGTTGGGTTCTGTATGTGTTTCTTCAGTTTGGCCTGCAGAGGGCAGAGTGGTGCAGAGTTAATGACCAGAGAGCGGCTGATCGCTGACGGACAGTTAGGAGCTTTGGTATCTCACCAACAGGTTGAAGGCTAGCTTCAGTTTCTGCAGACTGTCCAAGAACTCAGCTTCAGGGGGGGGCTTGGCCCGCAGGGTCAGCATGCCCTCTGTGAACAACCAGAACAAAGAGGTCCAGGTTAGCGGGCGTTTCCACCGCAGACGGGACGCGCTGTAGGTTTCAGTTTCTGGACAAACACTCCTTTCATTTTCCCAAACCTTTTATTGCTTAAATAGTGCAACAATGGAGGGCAATAAACATTCACCTTGACCAGGGTGAACAAAAAACAAACCCTCCTGTAGAGTTTCATGACCTGTAAGTAAACTGGTAGAACAAAGACTTTATGATCCGGGACATCTTGGATATGAAGCAGGAGTTTGAGATAAGTGTTGATTGCTTCTATCAATCGTCACGTCTATTATATTTACCTTTCCATTACAGTTAAAAAGAACATTCCCAGTTAGGATTAACATTTCTACCAGTATGAATGTAGACTGAAACCATCAGGTGATTCATTGTTGGACCTTTTGAGGACAGACTTGCTTTAAAATCATCATTAAATTTAGGAGCAGCTCAGAAATCTCAGACTCATTTTAACGTTTAATGAACCAGTTAAGAACTGGTGAAGGTTCTCAGTCTAAGGACATTCTTTGGAGGACCAGAATGGTCACATTTTGGACAAAGAAGACAAGTGGTTTGAGAGGGGCGTGAAGGAAGCCATCTTTGTTAAGATTTCAGCTTTAAAAAACCTTCAATGCAGCGATGGGATTTATTCC